TGTATTTTCGTATTCCTTGACTTCTGTGTTTACTTGTCGTTGCTTTCGTTCCAGCCTTCTGATTACAATACTCAGTTTTAGTTTTGAATCTTTGTATTTTTGCTTCGGTTTCTAATTGGTGTGGTTGCTGCTGCCCTACTTTTTATTTTTCCGAAGCCGAGGATCTTCCGGAAACAGCCACTCCGCCTTCTTGAAGGTAGGGGTAAGGTTTGCATACATACTACCTTCCCCATACCCCACTTCTGGGATTACACTAGGTTTGTTGTTGTTGTTGTTGGACACTCCCATATTACACTTTCTACAGTCTTCTTTATCAATTCACTTTGTCTCACTTCTTCATCAATCAATGAAGCTGTCAAAGTAGAGATGAGGGCAGAGTTGTTTAGTTCTTGCAATTTATGCACAGAAGCAATTGCAATAGAATTCCCAAATCCTTCCTTTGACAAAATAAAACTGCTAGAAAGATCCCATAATACCACATTGCACTCACTAGTAAACAATGAAGCACCCAGGTAGGCTGCTTGTAAAAAACAGAGGAACTAAAACTTATCCACCAAATGGTAGAATCTATATCAACAGACTCATACTTCACCAGCTCTTCTGACACCTCAAGATAGCCATTCTGCACATAAGAAGTCTCTGTAATCACCAAAGCCATCTCAAGATATCCAGTTCTCATATCGTCTATTCCAAAATGGGCAGAGAGTTGTACGTGACACCTAGGAATGCCAAATTAAACAGGTGATTCATCACTAAAAAGAGTTGGATTTAGAGCAACATAAAAATTGTCTTTTAGGAACTCAACTTTGATCAAATACTTCTCAACTGAATCCTGAAGCTCCCTATCTGCCTCAAGTAATGAAAAGAAATCATATCCTCCTCCTCTGAAGTTTTCTCACATATGGTCATAATAGAAAAACTATCAAGAGCAACAGCTTCGCGTTTCTTGGGATTCACACTCTGTTCAAAGAGCATTTCAAAATCATGTTCATTAACTACAACTATCCCTGAGTCAATATAATAAAGCTCACAGCCGCCTATTTGTCTTAGCTGCTCATGAGACATGGGAGTTAGGACCAAGGATTAATATTTAATTTCGCCACCTCAATAATGCAGAGTTAAATTGTTTCTCCACCTCTTGTAAATCATTTCACAAAACTTCTTTAAGAGTTTCACAATAAGCAGTTCAACAAGCCTCTTTTCCATGGGTAGAATTAAAGTTTGCTCAAGAACCTCATGACAGAAAAACGAAATTCCGAATTGTCTTATGCATCTATAGGAGTCACATTACAGACTCCACGTCTGATATACTCTCTCCATACTTCAACAATCTTCTCAATTTCAGATCTCAAATTAGCTTTCTCCCACTCTTCATTGCGCACATGAGTTTCTTGAGTTGGACAATTACTCTCTTCCAATTGTTTGGCTTTTTCTAGTGTGCTGTTATGATCTTCCTCAGCAAACTTGGTGCTTCTGTGCGTCCTCCCGATATCACCATTGATAGCATGAGAAATTTGATAATCCGGGTGACGTTTCAACAGATCCTCAATAAGAGGCAAAGCTCCAGCTTCAGTGTCGAGTGGTTTGTGCTTTGGAGTTACAATCGTTACGGATGAAGTGTCAGCCACGTTGACTTTGAGACTGTAATTATTTTTAAGTGGACTCACTGTTGACTCCAACAGCGTCTCAAGAACCGGACCCTCCACCCCATTTAGAGGTTCGACTCCTCCCGAGCTCCCTTTCTCCGGGGAAATTTCTGCTATACCGACAACCTTTGATATTTGTTCGGTGCCTGCCATTCTCGTCTTCTCTAATTGTCCCGTCTATCAGATTTCAGATACGGAAACAAATTTGTCAAAAGGGCTAGCTACCTCCATTCTAGCTTGTACAATTGAAACACCTGCATGTATCATTGCTTCATCAGAGAGAGAAGCTAATTTGTCTAAAGGCATCACTACTTCAATAATTGGCATTTCATCAAACACCTGGTGCTCAGGAGAGAAGTGTTGTTCCTTTTTTCATAACTCAAATTCTGCCAAACCTAACTCAGTAGGGATAACTTCTTCATTGTTTGCAATAGTGACACCGAGAAACAGAGTTTCAGGAGCACCAACCTCGTGAGAAGAGAAAAGACCAATTGTAAATCATGTGGTAGAAGGAAGTTGGGCAGAATTGTCTGCAAACCCACCATGGAAACCAGCTCCAACGTAATTTGGACTTGAACTGGAATTTGTATCGCAATAATGGTGCGCATATAGATCCTGATAAGAACCACCAATGTAATACTCGATGCCGCCATAGGAGTTTGGATATGCACTGTAATACTGATAGGCGTATGGATCCACACCACCAAACTTGACACAATGGGGGAGTATGGATTACGACTGAGATCAGCACTGTAATACTGATGGGAATTACACGTCGCGTAGGGAATCACGTTGGTGTGACTGATTTAAGCACTGCTTGTGAACTCCCATCGGCCAAAAATTAGGGGAAGCGGCAACGAACTCTGATTGCCGGTAAAGATTAGAAGGAAAAGGTTGGTAACCCACGAACAAATGTTGCTTTGGGTTTTCGAATTGAGAAGTGGGTGGTATGAAATTGTGGGTGTATGGTGGAGGGTTTTGCAATAGTGATGAGTATGGTGTTTGCGATGGGTTCTCTAGTTCCCATTTCAAGGTCGAGGTATTTAGAGACCCCAAATTCTCGCCACATGTGGGTAACTTCAAATTGCAGACAGAATTTATCAAATTTAGCTCCATTCTATCATAACTCTTGATAATATTTGATATTTGTGAATCGAATTTCTTCACAATTTCTCTTATCTTCTCCATATCTGTAAGGTCCCGTAAAATTTTCGCCAAGGAATTTAAGGTTTGGTGGAAACTTTTGCAGAAGGAGGCCATTCTGCAGTTAATTTTGCGACCGCAGATCCATTCTGCGGGCCGCATAACCATCGTGGAGTTGAGCAGAAAAATAGTTGAATTTTAAAGGTCGTTTTGCGGTCCATTATGCGATCGCATTTTCGTTTCGCGGTTCGCACTTCCGACGCAGATTTGGCATGAAGAATTTCGGAGGGTGATTCTGCGGTCCATTTCGCGGCCGCATAACTGGTCTGAGGATTGCAGACCTGCAGCAGACTTGACCAGGCCAGCCCAATTTTTGGGGCCGTTTTTGCGGGCCATTTTGCGGGCCGCATACCTGTTCTGCGGTCCACCCTGCGACCACAGAATTGAGTTCGGAGGGTCCTTTTTTTATTTTTATAACCCGACCCCATTTTGATTAAAAGCCTTTGGGGCTCGTTTTGAAAGCAAAAACCTAATGTTTTAGAGAGAAGGGAGTATCTTAGAGAGAGAGAGAGAGAGAGAGAGAGGGAGAAGACCTAACAATTCTAATCATCCATTCTTGCCCCAATCTTTAAGAATCAAGGAAGCCATTCACTAGACCATCATCTATCTGGGCAAGTCCTTCTCCTAAGCTTTCATGCAAGAGGTTATGGGTATAAGTATGTTGTGAGGTTGGAGATAGGCCATGCATGTGCCGATAGGAGGTAGTATGTGGGTTTGTTGAACTATTTCGGGTAGTTTCTTGTTGAAATTAGTTGAGGGAGGAAGGGATTACCATTGTAGAGCTTTGTAGTCGATTTTGCATAGTAGGTGTTTGACGAAATTCCCAAGAGAGTTATATCATGAGAATCCTTCCAATTAATATTCGATTTTTCCCTATCTTCTTATAGATTGAAATTGCTAGAAGTATTGGGACGTAGTAATCTAAGGAAAGCAAGCAAGGTATGTTGGCTAAACTTTTCTCTTAGATCGAATTCCATGATGTCCCGTAAGTTTCAAGTATGGTTGGCCCAGGTTCCTAAATCCCATGTTACAAGTTGTTCCTAATATATTCAGTTATCCCAAATAAGCATTGTGTCGGAAATTATATGCTCAAAATGTGTTTCAATTGCTCCTATCACATTATGCTCTCCTTCGCGAATGTGTTCAAGTATGGCTTATGTATTAAAATATTATGACTTCAATTTGTGTTTCAAATGAAAGTTTATTAAGCTTAATTTGGAAGGAAAACTCAGTGTGCTTAGGGCTCATATTGCTCATATACATATTTGAAGTCTTGATTCCAAAAGCTCTTATTGTTGATAACCTATGAGGATGTTTGGAAGTGAAAGAAGTGAGAGGGAGATATAAAATGTGGGCATGGTTGTTGTAACTAGTGCATATGATTTGAATCTATGTTTCAATCGTAAATCACCATAATCTCCTTTGTAAGAGTTTCCAATGTGTTTTGAGTTCTTATTTACCCATGAGTTGAAACTGTGTATTGCCCTTTGGGAAAAAGTATTTCAAGAATAAGTGGTGTATCACTCGTTTATGATTTTAACTTGTGCTTCAATTGGTAGTCATTTTGCTCCATTCTTTGGAAAGAAACTCATTGTGTTTAAAGCCTTCATTACTAATGAACTTAAAGTTATGATTTCCGGAATATTCTATATGTTGATGTTTATGATGATAATCCTTGAAAGTAAAGAAATGAAAGTGTGGAATATGAGATACGGCCACCGTGCCTTGAATGAAGAATCATATGAATGGCCAAGAGAGCCAATGAAATAATGATGTTGTGAGTGGTTGAAAGTACTAATGAAGCTATACATGGTATGAACGGTTATGAGATGAACCGAGAGGGCACCCGCATCCTCTTCAGGCGTGGCCTCGACAACCTGGCAGTTCTTCTATCTCCACTTTTGGGGCGGGAGTGCTATGTCGCTTCCTCAACCAATTCAATTGTGTCACTCTTGAGATTGGTTGTTTACACCAATCACTGACAATAGCCAAGGATCTGTGTGACAGGGCCTGAAGGTGTATACTTCTTCTATACGAGCTTATCACTTTATGCCAATAAACTTCTAAAAAATTATACCACCAAGTAGAATACTAAATGAAATGTTTGGGAAGTTTTTTGAAACACATGAAATCCTAAAGCAAGAAGGTTACCTCATCCTTAGCATAGCCAAAAGCTTCTAACTCCTTTAATAGTTCCTTTGACTTCTCAAACAAACCTCCTTTCACGTATACCTTCAACAAAGTTGTGTAGACTACCTGCAAACACATCATGAGCAGCATAATGAGTTTTTAAAGAAAATTTTGAGCGCTAGAAGTGACAATTCGGAATTTAAAATGGAAAGATGAATTAAGTTGCCAAAAACAGTTTGATTCTAGGCATATTGCAGTCTGCAGTGGAACAAAAAATACTAATCTTAAACTTGTCAAAAAAATTCATTTAGACACCACAACAAAGGTCATGACAGCCACCTAAAGTATGCGCAAAATGTGCTTATTAGAAGACATGACATGGCAAATGTGTGACTTTCACCCAAAATCAAGCCCATGTTGCTGGAAAGATTTAAAGTTTTTCCCTGGAAAAATGAATTTCCAGCCATTTCCCAAACAACTGCATTTTTGCAACCATCTTTCTCAACGCACTTTCTTCCTCCTCTTCTGTGAGGCTCACACCAGATTCAGACCCTATAATCATCATCTTCTTCTTCTAATACTTGTGAGGGATCATGCAATTAAATGTGATTTTCTAAGTGTATTACTCCAATGATTTCGTAAGCATTCATGTTTATTTAATTAATATACTTTAAATGAAAATTTCACATGCACGTTTATTCAATAAGAACTATTGTACTTCCGAGTTAACCATTTGATTTCAAACTTAATTTTTTGGACCTAAACATCAATATTCAAGTATCACTTAATGAACTCCAAACACTTGCAATTAGTTTTACTATCCAACAACATTTTGTTTCCTTTTTTCTCAAATTTCAACAAAATGGTGAAAATTGAACTAAAACTAATTTTCTCCAAAATTCAAGCTTCTATTTAGAGATGTTATCTTTCCACATTATTAATCGACTTTAGACATTAATTTTACTTCTTTAAAGTGGGGACTCGCTTTTAAGAAATTAGTGTCTATTACTCTTTTGGAGACCATCAATAACCAACTTGAGCATATAAGAAAATATTTATTTCCGAGTATAATATATTGAGCAAGTTTTATTTAACAAAACCCTCCATCCAATTTAGGGTTATGTGTGTATCCCAAAGTTTTGGCATTCAAAGAGGAATTAAAAATCCAAATATACTAATATTGTCAACTAAAGTAAATTTTCATTTTTGAATCATAGTTTCCTTTATGCTCCCTTAGTTAGTTTTTTTTTTTTTTTTTTTTTTTTTTTTTTTTTTTTTTTTTTTTTTTTAAAAANTTTTTTTGCTATCTATTTTTCTAGGATTTTCTCAGAGATACAAACACAATATAATACGTAGTCAAACTTAATCATCTCTACTAATATTTTGAATGAATTTCAAAAAAAGATATGTCATAGCTATTCCTTCCTCCACTGTTATATTTTTTTCCTAGCCTCTACTCTTTTTGGGAAATCTAACAATAAAGTTCTATTCCTTCTTTCATTTCATCAATGTTTCAACCTTTATATTTTTTTCTTACGGGAAAGGTCCAAATATCCCCTTGAACTATGCGAAACTGAGAGGATTTGCTCGCCGTTGATACTTTGGCACAAACATGACCTTGTCGTCCAATACTTGCTCCAAATATGCCCTTATTTTAAACAGCCCTATATGGACATATTTGGTCCCACGAACAGCATATTTGGCCCAATAAAGTTCTTAAGCTTTTATGTTATCTAGTTATCTTGTTTGGTTCATGACAATGTGATGGAAGTTTGGAATGAAAATTTCCCTCAAATCGATTGTTTTCCTTCCGTGAACCTTAAATAGGAACAAAGAGAAGCAAAGTGTAAAAAAGCCTAAACCATTTGTGGAACACCTATATCAATAAACGTCTGAACGGCCTCATATGCCTCAAAACACCACTAAATAGCCACTCTCGGCATCACAATCATAAAAACTAATACAATACACAAGTCTAGCCACCATAGGCAATAAATAAATCAACTGCATCAATCAAATTTGCCGAATCTCAACTCAATACCAAAAAATAAATTACTTACTCGCTCCATACAAACAAAACATGATACACTTGTTTTGGGAACAAAGAAAAGCATGGTTTAGGAACAAAGAGAAGCAAAGTGTATAAAAACCTAAACCATTTGTTGGAAGAGAAACCTCTCAAATTGGCCGGCCATTGTATAGGTTACTCTTCCAACAAAATGGTTTAGGTTTTTCTACATTTTGCTTTTCTTTGCTCGTATGTTATTACAAACTTCTATTACATTGCTATGAACCAAACAAGATAACGCGCTTAAGAACTTTAATGGGCCAAAAATGCTCTCAAAGTATGTGTGTGGGACCAAATATGCCCTCTATATAGGCTGTTTAAAATAAGGGCATATGTGGAGCAAGTATTGGACAACAGGGTCATGTTTGTACCAAAGTATTAACAACGGGCAAATACACTCAATTTTGCATAGTTCAAGGGCATTATTTGGACCTTTTCTGTTTTTCTTATACAATTCATCGTTTTCTTTTTGTCAGTAAATGCTTAATGTTATAAAATTCTTTTTTGGCATGGAATCGTGAAGCCAAGGAATTACTTGGTACCAGAAGTAGCTTACATTCACATCATAAAATTTAGAGCGGCAAATTTGGAAGTTGCCCTTTAAATTAATTAATACTATATTAAAAGTACGAAGGTCTTTAGCGAAATGTAGTTCGCCTTTTTTACCATTAATAAGTAAATTTTATATTGGATAAAATTATAATTATAAACACAAAAATTCAGCAATAACTATTACAATGTCATGGGATGAAAAAGGAGAAATAGAAGAATATATGGCAGCAATTAATTTTAAAATTGCCGTTGGATAAAAATAAGGAAAAAAGAACAAGAATGATGCTACTTTATGTTTAGGATTCTTCCCAATTAATGTCAATTTAGGAACAATTACTGTCAATTAAGGTTTAGAATTCATTTCCAGAATTGTCAAAGGAAAAAGTGAAGAACGCGTTTAGGATTCTGCAATTAATGTCGCTTTAGGTTTGAAATTCAAAAATTAATATCACTTTAGGATTCAGTACTCGATCCTCCCTTTTTTATTTTCTAGAATTTTAAAAGCAAAAACATTTAGAATAAGGTGTTGTACACTTCTATAAAAGAAGACATTGTTCCACTTGGTTTTTCATAAACTCTTGGTACTTGCTTATAATTTGAGGTAAATTTTCTAACCTTTATACTTTTCTTTAAGTAATGTAATATATAATAATAGAGTATTGATAGACAATTGCAAATTAAAAGTTGTCAATTGTGGTTTCTGTTTATGTTGTCTCATGTACGATTATCAGTTTACAATTGATGTATTTATAAATTTTGTACAAGTTGTTTGGATTATTGCATTCGGTAATAGAAAATTGGTTAGGCACTCTAACTCACATCAATTAAAGATTTTATTATTTCAAGATTATCTTTGCCCAATGTTTTATAATTATAATCTATACTAGGTCAAGTTGTGAAAAAATTATATTCAATCACCTCTTTTAATATACACGATTTAGAATTTGTGTTATTTAAGAGTAGACATTGGCAATTGTCATCCTTGCATCTAGCAGAATTTTGACAGGTTCATCGATTCATGTATAAATTATCTAATTTAATGAATTTAAGTTTTATCAGTTAATCCGTATAACTTGATGCATCGTGATAGAACATTCTACGCGTGCTTATTGTTGACAAGTTAACTTTAATTGATGTAATTGTGTGTAGATATTTTTATTTTTGTGAGTGAATAAATTTTAAACCAAAGCTATGGAAAACTATTCAAAATAAAGCGTACTGCTCAGTTTGATGTTAAAGGAAGAATTTGTTCTTTATTCGGGGATCAAGTTAATCAGTTGCGTAGCCTAAAAAAAAATTTATGTTCACAAAATATTATTAGTTTTTATTTCCTTTATCATCATGAAACAAGTACATTGAACATTACTTTTAACGTTATCTTTGAAGCAAATTTGTCATTTACATAATTTTGTAGTACAATTTGACTTTATTACTATCTTTATTTGGTATTAATATGTAAATTTGTAAATAAAACTCTGTTTAGATGGAAAAAATCGTTGTATGATACAACAACATCATCAACAACAACAGACCCAGTGTAATCCCACAAGTGGGCTCTAGGGAAAGTAGTATGTACGCAGACCTTACCCCTACTTTCAAGAAGGCAGAGAGGTTGTTTCCGGAAGACCCTCGGCTTAGAAAAAATAAAAAGAAGGGCAGCAACAACCACACCAATTAGAAACCGAAGCAAAAATACAAAGATACAAAACTAAAACTGAGTATTGTAATCAGAAGGATGGAACGAAAGCAACGACAAGTAAACACAGAAGTCAAGGAATACGAAAATACATAAATAACGCCAACTCATGTACTAAAGCTATTGTTACAGACAGAGACAACGCTAGGCGACCTATCCTAACCCTTTATCTTGTTACAGACAGAGACAACGCTAGGCGACCTATCCACACCTTCCTATCCATGGTCATGTCCTCAGTGAGCTGGAGCAATGCCATATCTTGTCTAATCACCTCTCCCCAATACTTCTTCGGCCTACCTCTACCTCTCCTTAGGCCCTCCAGGGCCAATCTCTCACACCTCCTCACCGGTGCATCTGTACCTCTCCTCTTCACATGCCCAAACCATCTAAGTCTCGTCTCCCGCATCTTGTCCTCCACAGGGGCCACGCCCACCTTGTGCCAAATAACTTCATTTTTAGTTTTATCCAACCTGTTATGCCCACACATCCATCTCAATATCCTCATTTCAGCCACCTTCATCTTTTGGATATGGGAATTCTTGACTGGCCAACACTCCGCCCCATATAACATAGTCGATCAGACCACTACTCTATAAAACTTACCTTTAAGGTTAGGTGGCACATTCTTATCACACAAAACACCTGAAGCGAGCCTCCATTTCATCCATCCCGCCCCAATACGATGTGTAACATCCTCGTCGATCTATCCATTCCCTTGTATAACTGACCCAAGGTATTTAAAACTCTCTCTCCTAAGGATGACTTGAGAGTCAGGCCTCACTTCTTCGTCCACAACCTGAGTTGTCCCAC